AAGAACTTGTCATATGATGGCTTCAATTTTCTGGGAGCAGTTATCACTGAGAAAGTTATCTGCCAAAAGAGAATAGATGGATATTGGAGGTTTAAGGATATCAAAGGCAGTTTGAAATGTTGGGAAGCCATTACCGAGAGTGGGAGATCATGTTGACCAGATAAATGCAGAGCAGCACAAGGGTCCATAATGTACCTGGTGACCAAGACTGTGTGATGAAGCCAGACTTCTCTGAGATAGGGCTTTCTCCTGGAGTGCTTGATACTAAGGTCACAAACAGGTAAAAGAAAGTTGGGTTTGCCCAACTTTGGGTTTTGTTCAAGGATTTATGTTTAAATGATAGAGGGACAAAGGAATTTATATACTGGCAATTTGGGACTCAAATGAAGAAGGAGGAAGCTGAGAGAAAGGTCAGTTATCCCTGGCTCTATCCTCTTGAGGTCAAAAATTAGTCCTGGTAGGCATGGTTGAAGAAACAAGTTGGGTAGAAAGCAGCTTGTGGCCAAAATCAGTGATTTGGTAGGTGGAGCAGTTTGGAGGAATGACAAGTGTCAGGACGTGACTGTTGAGTTAGAGTGATTGCTGGAGAAGATGCAGGAGCTAGGGGCCACGTGCTGGTTATTTGCTAAAGTCCCTGTGCTCCGTTTCCCAGTTAATCTGGTGAAAGCTGCCCCACCTCTGGCAAATATTTTAAGAGGGAGCTTCTGCTGGCAATCACAGTCTTTGAAAGAACTAGGAACCGGTTCCCAGACAGCACTGGGAGAGGAGGTGCCCTTTCTTTCCTGCTGGGATTTGCAAGAGGTATGGGGTTGCTTAGTAGGAGCAGCTACGAGGTAAACCTCAGGATGTAATCACCTCAGAGAGCACAGTGCACCACGGATGCACTCACAAAGACTAGTCTCTTGGTTGACCAAGTTTAAAAAAAAAAGTGTGGGAGAGTTACAGCCAGGGTCAGGAAGGGGCAGTGATAAGGGGGATGGCAGAAGGGCTGCCATCTAGACCATTGCCCCTGCTTATTGTTTGACCAGGGGAATAAGAGTTCTAGAGAGTCTGACGGTGGATTGGTATGTTTGTTTAAGTACAATTTTTTTCTAAGTGTAAAAGCAATGCATTTAATGCAGAAACTTTGGAAAATGCAGAAAAGCATAAAGATGGAAACAGTTCAAAATTATCCCATCTGTAGGGTAAGGAAAAAATGTCAGGCTTTTCTGCCCTCCCGCCATCAGGATAGATGATGGATCCTTGCGGTCCTGAATGCATGCCTGATGGCGGGCACCTGGAGTAGGGTGTGGGCAGATGTAGATAGGATTCACCTGGGCTAAGACTGGGCTTTTAAGGGCGGCATCATGAGGACACCAGTAGTAGCCGAAAGAGAAGCCGAGAACGAACAGAAGAGCAGCAGAAGGAGCCCAAGAGAAGCTGAAAGAGAAGCCGAGAAAGAAGTTCCAGAAGCCGAGAGAGAAGCAGAGAACGCCGGAGAGCCCAGATAGAGTGAAGACTTACTGGGGCCTGGGAGGACTGCCAGCCTCCCCGCCCCCCAGCACCCTTGCCTGCTGTGTACCGGGTAAATCCCTATAAAAGACCTGCAAAAACCACTGAAGACTCGGACTCCTCCTTTACCCGGTCTGCTGGATCCTAGAAAACCTGCACTGTGTCGATTCCTGACCTTACACCATCATTTAGAGATAATCAGTCAACATTTCAGTTCCCATTTTCCTAGCCTTCTTTCCATTGAGGGTTAAGGATATGTATAAGATTTGGGCCTTCTTAAGTTCAAAGACAATGAGATGTATGTTACGTAACTTACCCATTGTTTCTATATACCTTAAAAACTCTGGGGCTAACCACAAAATATATGTGTCAATTTTACAGGCAAAGTGGGATATTATACTTATTTAATATATAGGTTATTAGTAAAATTGAACATTTGTTACACGTTTATTGATCATTTGTACTTCGTATTTTATTCATTATCTATTTGTGTCATTTATTTTTCCATTGGATTATTACTCTTTAACTTATTGATTTAAAAAACACTTTATAGGGCCTCCCGGTGGCGCAGCGGTTGAGCGCTGGGTTGCGAAGCCGCCCGCGGCCTCTGCAGTGCCGGTTCAATCCCCAGCTGCTCCCCGGCCACCGGAGAAGGGTCCCGCATGGCGCGCAGACCTCTCCTGCCGCCCGCTGCTCCCCTCAGCAGTGTACTTCGGTCCTTCTGCCTGCTCTGCTCCCCGCTCTGGCTCTGGTGAATTCTCTCACCCTCCCGCACTTCTGACTGTACCCAGTGCTTGCATAAATAAATAAAAATAAATCTTTAAAAAAATATTTAAAAATAAATAAATAAAAAACACTTTACATATTATGGATATTAACCCTTTGTTATAGATCTTGTAAATATTTGCACCCAGTTTATAGTCTTTGAGTTTTATTTTGCTTTTCTTTTTGGTCATGTAAGAGTTTCAAAATTAAACTTAGTTAAATATATCAATCTTTTCCTTCATGCCATTTACTGTTAACAGTTTGGTAAGTACTTTTCCAGACATTTTCTATGCATATGCAAATATATCTATAAATATATATATAGTTAGATATATAAAGCTTTCCTGTACATTTTAAATGATATCATATGCTATTCTGCAACTTGCTTATTGTGGATATTTTCCCATATTAAAATATAAAGCTCTCACTCTAACAGAGTATTCTATTATATACACTTACTATAATATTATTAAATGAACTTTTAAAGTATCTTCATTTTCACATTTAAATATGTAAGATTTTTGATATATGAAAGAAATAGAGACTGAAATTTATATATTCTATGTGGTGGGTCTGTTGTCAATAGCACTTACAAAGTAATCTATCCTTTCTCCACTTATTTGAAATATCACATTAAGTATCATATATTTGATGATACTTTTACCACATAGCAAATACACCCATATTAGTATGGTCTCATACTAGATTTTCTATTTTGTTTCCTTTCCTTAGTTATTCCTAAATCTAATTATTGTAGTTTTATATGTTAATATCTACAAAATCAAAACTATCTCCCTCTTTCATCTTTTTCAGTATTATTGACTTAGCTAATTTTCTTGCATTTATTCTGAGTTTGAGAATCATACCATGAAGTCCCCAAAACATCCATATAGGATTTTGATTGGAATTGTTAAATTATCTAATTAAAGGATTATTGACATATTTTCAAATGATACTTTCCACTTAAAAGCAAAATATGCCTCTCTCTTATTTTAGTTTTCTTTTTATGTACATCAGTAATTTTTTGTTTTCTTTGTACAAGTCTTGCATTTCTCATCAAGTTTATTCACAGATACATTACAGTTATATATGGGACTATTAATCTGTAGGAAATCATTTGATTTTGTGTGCACTTTATAACAACTCACTTTCTCGATGATTAGTCTAGTTGTTTCCAGCTGATTCTTTTAGATTTCACATGTAGGCAATCATGTTATTTGCAAAAAAATTAATGAAAAGACAGAAAAAGGATAGATGGTTTTATTTATCCATTTCCAGTAGTTACATTTTCTTTCCTTTTATTTTCTTACTACTTGTAGAACCAATTCTTAGATGTATCAGTTAAGAGTTTTTCTCTCTTGAGATTCCTTTGGGATTGCACACATGCACAGACGTGCATACACAGAGACCCATTAGGATATGATCCTATTTCCTCCATAAGATTTCCATCACTTTTTTTTTTTTTCTGGGCTCTTGGAAATTTCCTTAGGCTTATCTTTAAATTTTCTGATTTAATTTTCCTTAGTGTCTAATATGTATCTAAATTCACTGTTTCTTTTGGATTTTAACTTTCAGTGATCAGATTTTTTTTTTCTAAACTTCTCAATTTTAGGAGATTGCCCATGGTTCCCTTAATTGTCGAAGCCAACACATTTGTGTTCCTTTCCCTTGAAGACTCTGTTAATCTGATCCCGTCTTCATTCCTTCCTATTTTCTCTTGGCGCCCATGACACTATATTCCCTGCTCTTCCTCCTAATTGATTTTCCCCAGTCTCTCTAGTCCACAAATCCCACTGATCCTGTCTTTAAATATTTTCCCGATCTATCTACTTGTTTCTTTCTCTATCACTACCATTCTGGTCCAAGATGCCACCATCCTCCACTCCTCCTATACTGCAATAGTCTCCCAACTGGTTTCCTTGCCATCCTCTCTTACCTTTCTTCTTCCAATAGTTCTGCAGTGCTCTTGGGATAAAACCCTACTCCTCATCCAGGCCTAAAAATCCTTCTGTGAGCCTGTCCCACCCACCTCTCCTGCCTCTATCCCCCTCGCTTGCCCCTCATCACATGGCAGTCTTTATGCTCCTCAAATTCTAATTTTATCCCACCTGAAGACCTTTGTAGCTGCTGTTTTCTCCTCTTGAAATGCTTACACCTGCTCACCCCACCCTATTTTATGTTAATCATAGCATTAATCACAATGTGACTTCTCCTTATTATCTGTGTCTCTTCACCTAGCATGGAAGCTTCCTGAAAGCACAGCTTGCACTGTCTTTTTCTCTATTGGATTCCCAGCACCGAGAACAAAGTAGATATTCAGTAAATGCCTGTTTAAGGGATGACAAGATCCTAATATTCTGTGCAATTGTTACAGTTCTTGACAGAGTTAGCGCTCCTGTATCTATTGAATTGATGGATAACTCACTCCACTATACCTGAGCTTCTAGAGAGCAGAAGTCCTTACTGCTAGGGACTTCCAGGTGTGTTGTAAATATGTGTGTTTGATTTATTCTTCTTTATAAAGAGAAAGCTAAGCTATTAAGCTGATTACATAAAAGACTTCATTTCTCTGAGAGTAAACATGTGACAAGAGAGGAATGTCATGAGAACATTCAATAGGATTTGCTGATGAACTCGGTAGGAAGCTATATGAATGAGGTAAAAGGAGTTTCTGTGCCTTATGTAGTTTTCCTATCTAAATTTTAGCCTTAATGCTACATTTCTTTTTGGTAAATGTGTTACAGGGTGCAACCTACATCCTGGTGATGGTGGATCCAGATGCCCCTAGCAGGTCTTTTCCCAAATATCGATTCTGGAGACACTGGCTGGTAACCGACATCAAGGTAAGCAGGCCTAGAGGCCCTTTTTTTTTTTTTTTTTCAAATTTGGGATTGCTGCTGCAGACTATCATTCGTGCAGTTCTCAGCTCTCGTCAGGAGGGTTGGGGACTCTGATGATGGATTGGTATCAGATCACCCCCAGCACCCAGCTGTCACAGCCCCTTCAAGTTTTCTAACCATTTCAAAAAGTGTCCCAGTTCCTCATCAAGTCACTTGGAGCCCCTCTGGCCTTTCATCTTTGTTCCTTTGTCATCACCATAAATGTGAAGAACCTGGCTGACCCTTTCCAGAGTAGGTCCAAGGGACACAAATCTGGTAGATTGTCAGTAACATCATGTGGTGGTGGGGGTGGGGGTGCAGACTCTAGGTTAAGCTGAATTAATGCATTCCTCACCAAAAGGCTTTTCAGAGCTTTAAATATCTTAATAGGTACCATACAATATGCACTTATTTTTGAATCCCATTTGCTATTGAATCCTTTGTTCATGAGTGCCTGGCAGTGCACTTTGGGAAAATCCCCACTAGCTTCAGAAATTCACACATTGGTGCACAAAAATCTGCAGATGACCTTTGCATAGAGTGTGCAAAGGGGTTAACCCCAGGAGATAGTGGGAGCCCAGAATTAGATGAAGATGGGGATTCTGCTCTGTTGTTCCGACCTCAGTGACAACCTCATCAAGTCACTTGGAGCCCCTCTGGTGTCTCATCTTTATCAGTAAGATGGGAGCCACATTTCCTTCTCAATATGGTTGTCATGATGATCCAGTGAGTAAGCACACTGAAAGCACTCCGGAAAACAAAATTTCACAGAAAAAAGGAGTCCATGCTTTTCTTTCTAGCACCCTGGGTAAAGGAAGGGCTATAGGTCTGGACTAGCTGTTGACTCACCTGAGTCAGGCAAGGCTCAGCTGCCAGGGTGGGAGGAGTTACCCTGGCAACCAGTGACTGTAGGCCTCCATGGGCTGCTCAGGTGGACAGCCTGTCTTTAGAAGCAGCCCTGGAGATGGCCTTGGAAGGGTCTCCCTCCAAGGAGACCCCCAGCAGCAGTTTCTTGGGCTGGGCCTGAATCAGATTGAGGGTAACCCAACATCCTTCCCTGACCAAGTACTCCCCAGTCTTGTGAAAAGTCTTGGAAGCACTATAAACATGCATCTGGCAGGGAGGTAGCTGAAGGCACAAAGGAGGGAGATATTGGATCCTACCCCAATCTAGAGCATTGCTGTTTTCTGTGTCTGGGACTCCCCAGTGGTCACAAGGGGGTGAAACGCTCAGAAAGGAGTATTGCTCTGGACATCATGTCTACAGTACCCCTCCCCCCCTCCACACAGATCCCCTCCCCCATGACTGTGAGAAGTTCTACAAGGTGATTCTGTGGCAAGTTTTGAACTTACAGCTGTAGATGGAATGATTTCAGAGTCAAGAGGGCCTTGGAGCCTCATGAGGCTACTTACAAGTCAGAGGTGCCCCCCACCTCACCCATTCCCCTTACCCCAATACCCACTTGAGACAATTGTCTCACACTTGCCTGTGGTGCAACCGGGTTCAGCCTCAGCAGCCAGCTTAGAGGCACAGCAGGTGCAGGTGGTAGGTGGCAGCTGTCAGGCAAGTCTGCTAAGCTGCAGAGCTTTCCAGGGCCACCTGCCTGGTGCTCAGGCCGGAGGAGGCTTGGGTTTCAGTCACATTTTCACCCACTTTCCCTAATCCAAGGTCCAGCAGGAACCGGCAGCTCTCCTCAGTCATGTCCACTTGGCCTGTTTGCCAGCCCCAAATTCCACCAGCCCCAAAGTAGTATAAACCAGATCCATTTGGATCTCAAGTTCTGGACCTCGGCCAAAGGAAGAGGGGGCTCTGAGCAAACCCAGAGCCACTTCCTTTGTGCTGGTGTCAGCTGCCGCTGAGTGGGGCTCAAATGTGATGGTGTGTTAGTATCAGCCTTGTTCAAAGGCAGGTCCCCAGGTGCTGCCTACCCACAGTACTTGTTCCTCAGTCTGGAGGGAAGGTGGCATCCGCCTTTAGCAACCATGCAGGAGGATGAAGTTTGAAGGAAGACCAGAGTTCGGTGTCAGAATGCCTTGGTCATTGTTACTATCACCAGATGTAGAGCCGTTTTCAAATGAAAACCACTTTTGAAGCTTCCTCTTGATCCTCACAATCACTTGTGAATTAGGCATTACTCCATCTTCTAGTTGTGGAAGCAAGGCCTGCAGGGGCTGCATGATGCTGTCTCTCACTGAATGGGCTATAGAGTAGATCTTTAGTCTGGGCCCCTCAACTCTAGACCATACCCTTTCCTGCTATCCCATGTGGTCTGGGTTCACACCACATCTCTCCCATCATGACCTCTCTGTAAGATGGGAAATGTAATCTCTGTGATTCTCCTCCACTCCCAGGGCTCAATTTCTGGCTGCCTGTTATTGGCAGATTACTTCCAGAGAACCTCCCCAAGTTAATATTAACTTAGTAAATAAAATATACCTGGTAAGCATGTAGAACCCCATAAAAGTATACCTTATATATTATCGTTACCCTCAGCAGTAAGGGCCACAGAAGCAAGATTGGCCATAAAGTCACCATGTGAATGACCCTGAAATGCACAATAACCACAGAGGCAAATTCAGTGGAATATAAGTATGCCTTGACAGAGAGGCTTAGGCCTGACTGGATGGTGGGTCGGGCCATGGTCATGGGGGCCCTTCAGCAGGGACAGTTTTTAGACTGTCCAGATTGAAACAGGACAGCAATCAGTTCTCAGGAACACAGAAATGTCTGCAGCTGCCCTATCACTCCACACCCCCCCACTCCAAAAAAAGAGACTGACAGGTTCTGGTATAGAATACATTAAACTCTGGTTCTTAGATAAAAACTGGGAACTAGAGAGAAATCCATCAGTAGGGACAAGCATTCTTAGTAACCCTTTGCTCAGTGAATTCAACAAGCAGGAAGCGATCATTACGGGCTATAGCACAGCAGTTAAAAGCAAGGACCCTGGAGCCAGACTGCCCTGGTTTGAATCTGAAGCTACCATTTTCAGCTAAGTGATACTGGGCACAAACTTGCTCAGTCAGTGCCTCAATACCAGTAGTCCCTACCTCACACAGTTTTGCAAAGCTTCAATGAGCTGTTTTAAATAAAGAGCTTAGAGCAGTACCCAGAACACATACAAGCTCTAGATTATCCCGGTGGTTGACATCATTGCTGGCTGGAAACTGCACCAGCAAGGGGTGAGGCACAGGATTGGGATGCCATGGGCACCAGGAGCCCTCTCACAAGGAACTTCCTCTACCCATGGGTTCCCATTAGCTCAGGGACAGAACTAGATAGACTTCAGACCCCAAACCTGACCAGACTAGGGCAGGCAGGAACTGATACATAAATCACAATGTCCTCTGCCACTCCCTTGAAAATGTCTCACTGAGCAAAAGAGATTGTACACAGCATTGACACACAGCATCTCTCTGCCCCAGTGTGTGGCCTCAGCGTTTCCTTGAAGATGTTTTTCAGTTTTGATTCAATCTAACTAATACTGTTCACGCTAAAGCCTAATTAAGATATCAATTAATTTGCATCATTCATTTCAGAAGAAACATTTATTGGTTCATCTTCTATTTGTCTCTGAAATTAGTGCTCGGGGCTTTTCGTGCAGATATTTTCATTAGACTTTTTATTGTTAATGGGAATATTGAACACGGGAAGATGGTATATTAATACTTTCCACAAAGAATCTCATGATTGGTGACAAAGAACACTAAGAACAATTAAGGAGACAAGAGTACCTTTTTTCTTCCAAAAAAGAAAATCTTCCTAGAAACCGTCAATGATTCTAAAATTTGCCCTGAGTATCTTTTTTGTTTTAAGAAAGAAAAGGAAATGGCAAGTTCATGTTTCCCTTTCATTCAGTGCCCTCAACCTTTGGCAGCTGTAAGTGCAACCAATTCTGGGTTGAATTAAAAGGACCTCTAAGGGTTTCATTATTCTGTCTACTTTTCTATAGGGTTGAATTTTTCCATAATGAGCATTTTTAAAGGACCTTTAAGTGTGTGAGGTGAATGAGATAAATGGGGAGCCCAATAAACAGAGCCAGGATGGTGGCCCCCTGCCTTTCAGGATGTGGCCAGCATTTGTCAGTCCCACTGCTGCGTGTTCTCAGGCAAGTTACTTGACCTCGGAGAGACTGCAGCGACCTGCCTGTAAAATTGACACAAATCCTTACTCTCTGGGGTTGAGACAGGAAAAAGGGAATTACACATGCAAAGAGGAGAAGCCTCCCTAGAGAGAGGCACTATAGAAAGTGGCAAATTTAGCCTTGTTCCTAATCAATAGAGCAGTAGATCCTACAGAAATGTATATATAGTACACAATCCAATTTTCTATATGCCCAGAAGCCAGCTAATGATAATAAACAGAAGAATAAACAGTCCTTATCAGGAACACAATTTCAGATGAAGAGGTCAAACCAAGGCACAAGGATTGATTATTTTCTTTCTTTAAATTAGTTTCTTTATTTAGATGTATTTTTAATTTTGCTGCTGGTATTTACACACTTGTCCAAGCTCACTTTGCCTGTACTGGGAGGGTCTGTTTTAAGTAACAACATGTTGTAAGGCCTGGATTACACTCCCTGGAAGCTCTATGGGTCAGAAAGAGCATTTGGTGATGGTGACAATGCAGCGGGTTGTTTAGGGCCACCATGCAGGGGGAAAGAGCCTGCATTTTGGGATCAGGTGAATAAGGGAAATCTGCAGGCTCTGCCACTTCAGGATGGGAATCTCTTAGCCTCAGTTTCTTCATATTTAAAATGGACACAACAATAATATCTATTCCCTAGTGTTCAATAAGATTAAGGCTTCTAACAGAATAAATGTGATTCCTTTCCCACACGACACCCAACTTTGAGATCTGACCACAGTAGCCACTATGATCCACAAGCTTCCCTTACACTATTGAATTCATGTTTTGCCAAGTGAGAGTTCTACAATGCTCCAACACCCAAACTCTGTGATTTA